GAAATAATGTTTTTTCTCAGTTCTTCTCCAGAGCTGAGCCAAAACTGAGGTGCAGAGCATCAACACCACAGCCCCACAGTGTCCCTCTGTCACTGCAGGGAGATGAGAGCTGCAGAGTGATGAGGATCCCTTCCTGTTGGGAAAGAAAACCCCGAGCAGAACGCTGGGGATTTATTTCCTATCCTTTGTTTATCTTGCATCCCACACATCTGTGCCTCGGATTTGCAGAAGTAGCTGCAAATAGCCGAGATTATCAGCGTGGGGTTCTGAGAAAACAGGGGCAGGAGGAACTGCCTTCTGTGAGACAGGACAGGGAGGAAACTCTGCTGCTGTCTGCCAGCCCTTGCTGCTGCTGCACTGAGAAACAGCTGAGTTATTCCCTTTACAGGGGGCTATTCCACAGCAATTCCACGGCATGGATCAAATTCATACTCACAAGGAGGGACAGCTGGATGCTGAAAGGTTTTTGGGGAATTTAGTTTTTTTTTTTTCCCTGAACACCAAATTCATCACCTGCAGCATGAGGAAGAAGCACTGACTCCTGCCTCCCATGCCAGTTTCAGGTGATTATTCCAGTTATTTCTCCAATTCCAGCAATTTGCTCCCTGACAGTCATGCACAAACTTGTCTCAGTTCAGAGAATCATTTTGGGCTGGAAGGGACCTTAAATCCCACCCAGTGCCAGCCCTGCCATGGCAGGGACACCTCCCACTGTCCCCAGTGTCCAGCCTGGCCTTGGGCACTGCCAGGGATCCAGGGATGGAATTCCATGCCAGCCCTGCCCACCCTGCCAGGGAACAATTCCTCATTGCCAAGATCCCATCCAGCCCTGTCCTCCTTCAGTTTAAGGCCATTCCCCCTTTTCCTGTCACTCCATGCCCTTGGGAAAAGTCCCTCTCCAGCCTTCTCTAGGTCCTGGAATGGTCTTGGGGCTTAATGTAAGAAATTTTTGTAAACAGGTCTTATTTGGAATAGAATTCCCTCTTTCATTCCCTTGGAAAAAGAACAAAAATAATTTTTATACAAAACAAGAAGCTTTTACCTACCGGGTAAGAACCTAGGAACCACTTTCCCAAACCAAAGCCTTTTGATAAGAACACCTGAAAACATTTTCTTGCTCTACTCGTGTTATCTTGTAATTGAATTACCAAACCCTAAAGCCTGTCCTTTCTGATAAAGGAACAAGTTCCCCCTATCTGAGCATCAATCTGTGTATTTAAATTTAGGTCCTTTTCATGTATCTGTGACATTTCTTGGGGCCTTCCAAGAAACGATACTGTGATACTGTTGTTTCTAAATGAGCAAATTCAGATTCTACAGAAAGTTTTCCACTTCTGCTTCACGGTTTCTACTGATCTGATCTTTATGTGGAACATTTCTTCCTCTGCAAGATTCTGAGAAAATCAGTGGCAACTGTTCCATCTTCCCTCTAGGAAATATTTTTATCTTTTATTGATGTCATTTTTAATGTCTCAGCTCTCTGACTGGGACCAATCAGACAAATCCTATCAAGTTTGACACGATAATTCTTTTAAAGTGCCCTCCTGGTCTGAGGTGAAGCATCTGCATCTCCCCCACAGGGAATTTCTCTGATTTGTACAGCTGTGCTTTCATCTCACTGAGTCCTAGAATTGGGTTTGGGTTGGAGAGGAGCTTAAAGCTCATCCAGTTCCACCCCCTACCATGGGCAGGGAACTTTTCACTCTCTCTGGTTATTTAACTCACCCTATTTCTCCCACCTCACTTTTTTACTGCTCTGTTTGCCCTCACCCCCCTCCCCAGGCAATGGTGGTGGGAGAAATCCTTGCTGCTTAAAAAACTGAATTTTTCCATTCAAAAATCCCACCAGACCTGGCAAAAATCTCTGTGGAGCTGCCATGGGTGAGACTGGGGGGTTTTTTTCAGCAGTTTGTTCCATGCTCCCCCTCCTTCTTCCAGGCTTTAAATCCCCCACAACAGCTCAGTTGCAATGCCTGGTAAACAATGGAGTAGCTGGGATGAATTTTTCCTCACAGGGCCTCTGAAAAATCAAAGGGGCCAATTGATCTGACAACATCCAAGTGCTCAGTGTACACGGAATTCAAATGAAATTCTTGTTCCTGTGAGGAGCAGCAGTCCGAGGAGTATCTCTGTGCTCAGTGTTTTCCTGGGGCCGTGCCAATGGTGCCTCATTGTCTGATTTCCAAGGGCTGTAATTGAGTGATAATTGCCAGTTCCTCTTTTGAACCAACACTCTCTGATAAACTTCACCACCATTTAGCTGGAAATCTGAGAGCTCTAAACAATTTATTTACCAAAAGAGATACAGACATCTCTTAACACACTGCACCACTGCCTGCCCTGCGTGTACATCGGCATTTGGATGGCGCCAATTAACAGCAGGCTGCAGTTTGGGGTTGGTTTGGGTTTTTTTTTAATTTTAAAAATAATTTTTCTCTCTTCCATGTGGTCTCTGTGAGCCATCTGTTCAGTGCCTGCACCACCAGAGGAGTTTGGAGGTGTTGTTTTGAGTGGAGTCAAGGGAATACCTGGTTTTAGTCACTTGTGCAAAGTTCAGTGAAGAAAAAACAAATCAAGATGAGGGAGAATAAAGAAATATCGTAGAAATAAAGAAAAGTTTTATTCAATTTGTGGATGGGATGATGCAGTCTGGATTTTTGCTGGCTTTCTCATTTAGCTGTTAATGTCTCATCATTCTCTGGAACCAACAGACTCAGAATTACAAACTGGTTTCTCCCTTCACCTCAAAGCTTTTTAGGGAGTATTTTCCATGGTGGAAAGGTGGATGTAGAAGTGACACCTGAATTCCTGCTGCTCTTCACGCCTACAATAGCAGAGCCCATTGGAGGTGCATTCCTGCTGCACTTGTTGGAGATGTAACCAGTAAATTTACCCCCAGGGTGAGTTGTCAAAAGCATTATTTAAGAAAAGTCCCCAAATGGTAGAAACGTAGGGCTGGAGGGGACAAGAAATGTCAACTGCCTTAAAAAATTGTTATTCTTGAGAGGTATTTCTCCAGCCTGTTCTTAAAGTCTCCAGAGGTGATGGCACCAACATGCTCAAAAAGCATCAGAGTTTGGGAATTCGATCTATGCTGAGCCAGATCTGTTCTGCACCTGCTGCCAACTCTCCTGAAATTCCATGAAATCACAGAATATCCTGAGCTGGAAGGGACCCATCCAGCCCAAGCCCTGTCCCTGCCCAGCCTGGGCATCCCTGGCAGCGCTGGCCAAAGGCTCCTGGAGCTGTGGCAGCCTCGGGGCCGTGCCCATTCCCTGGGCAGCCTGGGCAGTGCCAGCACCCTCTGGGCAAGAACCTTGCCCTAAAACCCAACCTAAATCCCTCCAGGCACAGCCCCAGCCCCTCCCTGGGTGCTGTCCCTGTCCCAGAGCAGAGACTGGAGTCGTCCCTGCATTATACATTAAATTTTATCATATGTGTATTCTTAAATTATTCTTATTATTATTATTATTCTCCTTATTCTAACTACTATTTTTCTTCTTGTCTTCTTCTACATATTTTTAAATTCCAATACTATTCTACTTCTATATATTTTTTAATTATTCATTCTCTTCAGCTTCTTTGCCTAGCAGGAGCAGCAGAGCCCCAGAGCTGCTGCTCCAGGCCTGGCTGCGCTGCTCTGGGCTCTGTGGCTGCACAGCCCCGTGCAGCTGCTGCCCCAGGGATCTGTGTGAGCAGCACGGAGCTGCTGCTGCTGCCTGGGCTGGGGCTGCAGCGGGGGAACCCCTCCCGCCCGGCCGGGGCCGCTGCAGGCAGGCGGGGCTGCTGAGGAACAGCCCCGGCCGGGCTCCCGGGCCACGGGCAGCGTCCCAGCGGGGCTGTGCTGGCTCCGCTGTGGCGGCTGCACAGCCCCGCTGCCAAGGGCTCTCTCCCAGCACAGCTCTCTCTCCGCCGGCCTCAACGTGCGCCTTCCGTTCGCCTGCAGAGAGCAGCGCCAGCCCTGCCCTGCCCGCCCGGCCGGCAACTCTGCCGCTGGGCTGGGGCTGAACACTCACTGCTCACAGGGGACTCCGGGGCACTGCCTGCCAAAATACATCGGCACCGCTGAGAGACTGCAAAGGAAACCTGGGCACTCTGCTCTTGTGCCTTCTTAGAAACTTCATTAGAAAATACACACATTCTTCAAGAATGGTAATAGTGTTGAGAAATTGTAACATATTGTAATTACACCATATAGCACATTAATGTTTTTATATCATAGACTGTAATTTAAATATACAATATGAAATAAAAATAAATTCTTTCTTAGTTTTATTTATTCATTCAATTTCCTCTTTATTTTTCTATTCTTATTCTTCTTAATGGTTTTCTTCTTCTTTGTACTACTCTGTCTTACTACTCTTCTTTGCTACTTCTGTGTATTTCTAAATTCCTATTCCTATTTCTATTCCTCTATATTCCTATTCTTCTTCTTCTACATATTTGAAATTCTTATTCCTAGTAGTCTTCTTCTCTAAGTATTTCTAAATTCTTATTACTATTCTTCTATGGATCCTTAAATTAGTCATCTCCGTCTTGTCTTCTTAGTCATCATCTTTGTCTTCTTCCTCTTTGTTGTCTTCATCTTCTTGGTCTTCTTTGCCATTGTCTTGCAGTGGTTTGTGCTGAGAGTCCGTTCCAGGAGCCTCTGCTTTGTGCCCAAGAAATGGTTGCTGCACCTTCCAGGCCCGGGGCCGGGTGTGTGTGGGGCAGGGAAGGGGGGAGCTTTGGCCTCTTTGCCCGGCCATTTTCCAAGCCTCACTGCCCAGCTGTTCCTGGCTCTGCCTGCTACGGTTTTGCTGGGCTTGCTTGGCTTTGCTGGCCCATGCCAAAGCTTTTCCCTTCCCTGCCTTGGAGGAGCTGCAGCAGCAATCTTTCAGCCCCTCCAGCTGAACCCAACAGCTGCTGCTCCCACAGCAGAGCAGCGGCACCGGCGGCAGGGGTCATCTTCATCTTTTTCATCTTCCTCTCCTTCTTTATGTTCTTCATCTTTTCCTGTTTCAGTCCTCGGGCCGTGGCCTGAGGCAGGCACAGCGGCACAGCCCCCGCAGCGCCCGCAGCGCCCGCCTGAAGCGGGAGGGACGTTTCCTGGCCTTGGCAACACCAGGCAACGCCTCCTCAGCAGCTCCGCACCGGGCAGCAGCTGCCGGCTCGGCCTCCGTGGCACGGCCCGGGGCAGGAGAGGCACTGGCCAGGGCAGGGGCTGCCAGCTGGGGCACCTCTTTGGGAGAAGAGTCTGCCCATGGCAGTGACAGCAGGGACTTGACTTCACCTTCCTCTTCCTCTCTCTCGCTGTAGATGTCCCTCTCACTGCAGGACTCACTGTCCCAAACCGAGGTCTCCTGGCTGCCTTCCTTGAAAAGCTTTGGCTCTGCCACTGCCCACTCCTCTTCCTCTCTCACACTGTAGGCATCCCTCTCACTGCAGGATTCACTGTCCCAAACCGAGGTCTCCTGGCTGCCTTCCTTGAACAGCTTTGACCCTGCCACTGCCCACTCCTCTTCCTCTCTCTCGCTGTAGGCGTCCCTCTCACTGCCGGGCTCACTGTCCCAGTCCGAGCTCTCCTGGCTGCCTTCCAGGCACAGCTCTGACCCTGCCAGCTCTGGCTCTGCCACTGCCCCCTCCGGCTGTTCCCCGGGGCCCGGGAATCCCAGCGGGGCAGAGCAGGGCCCGGGGGCGCTGTGCGGGGCAGGCGCCGCCCCCGCTGCCGCCTCCTCAGCAGCTCCGCCCCGGGCAGCAGCTGCCGGCTCGGCCTCCGTGGCACGGCCCGGGCCAGGAGAGGCGCTGGCCAGGGCAGGGGCTGCCCCTGCTGCCACCGCTGTGCCCGCGGGGCTGCCAGAGCGGGGCCCCTCTGGGGGACAAGCCTGGCTGTCCTCCTCCTTCGCTGGGCCCACAGTGGCTCTCAAGAAGTCCCAAGAAGCTCCAATTGTCATCCTCGGACAGCTCTTCCAGAGAAGAGTCTGTCCATTGGGACAGGTCTGACTCTATTTGCTCCTCTTCTTCCTCACTGGAGGCGTCCCAGTCACTCTCCCAGCCCGAGCTCTCCTGGCTGCCTTCCTGTGGCAGCTCTGGCTCTGCCACTGCCCCCTGCGGCTGCTGCCCGGGGGCCGGGAATCCCAGCCGGGCAGAGCAGGGCCCGGGGGGGCTGTGCGGGGCAGGCACGGGGCTCTCTTCCCTCTCTGCTGGGCCTGTTCCTACCACGGCTGCATCCTCACTTTCTTCCCTCTGCCTCTGCTCCTGCGGCTGCTGCCTGGATGCCTGGACCTCCAGCAGTAGCTGGCTCACGATCACACAGCTGATGAGCCACGCCAAGTCCAGCAGAGCCTGGCTGCAGCCTGGGGGGCTGACAGGGGCAGGCACTGGGCTCTGTGTCCCTGCTGATGGCAGCTCCTTCCTGGGGGCAGGAGGCTCTGCTGCCTCTTCTGCCCCAGGGGCCAGAGGCTCCAGGGGCTCCTCCTCCTCAGCAGCTCCCGCTGGGGCAGCAGCTGCCGGCTCGGCCTCCATGGGACTCTGTAGGGAAGGAGAGGCGCTGGTTGGGGCAGGCACTGCCTCTGCTGCCACCTCTGTGCCCACGGGGCTGCCACTGCTGGGCCCCCTGGGGGACAAGGCTCAGGCTCCTGTCACTCCCTGCTAGCAAGGATCTGTCCCACATCTCAGAGCTGATGGCATTTCTCCACTGGGACAGCTCCTGCCTGCTCACATCTTCCTCCCACTGGGACAGCTTTCGCTCACTCCCATCGTCCCAGCAGGGCAGCTCCTGGGCTGCAGCGTCTGCTCCTTGGGACAGCTCCTTGGCACTGCTGGCTCTCACCTGGGACAATTCCAGCTCTCTCCTGTCTGACCATGGGGACATGTGACAGTGCACATCTTGTCCCCATGGTCAGAGGTCTTGGTTACCTCTCACCTTCCCCCTAAGAAAGCTCTTGGGAATGGTCCCATAGGGAATCCTCTGGGACACTCACATCTCTCTGCAGGGACAGCTCATGGGATCTTTTGTCTTCTCCCCATCCCAGCTCCTGCTGCCCTCTCATGTCTATTCCCCACTGGGATATCTCTTGGCTTGTGACACATTCTTCCCACTTGCACACCTCTTGCTACATCTCACTGAGGACTCTCCCCACTGCTACAGCTCCCGGACTGTGACAGTTTCTCTCTGTTCATAGAGCTCTTGGTGTGTCCCACCTCTGTACAGGGAAACTTCCCCAACTCTCACACGTACCTGGCATTGGTACAGCTCTTGGCTGCTCCTGGATCTCTGCTGGGACATTTCTTGGACTCTCAGCACTTCTCTTGTGTACGTCTCTGGAAGAGCTTCCCACTGGGAAAGCTTGCGGTCCTCATTGGCAAAGGGCCTCTCCTCCTCCTCAGTCTGTGACAGTGGCAGGACTGACCTGCCCACTGCCCCTGACCACTGCCCGCTGGGGGCCTCCAGCCAGCTGGGCAAGGGGCTGGCGACCAGGAGTTGGAGTTGCCTTTATCCTTTGTTGCTTTTCTTGTCTGTCGCTGTCGGCCTCTGTCGCTGTGGGCGTCCAGCGCAGACAGACACAGGGAGCTGCTTCCTGCACAGAGAGCGGCTCTCCTGTGACTGGGCACCGCAGGGCTCTGCGCCCCTTAGACACCCTCAGCCAGGGCCGGGCTCCCTGATGTCACAAGGCTCTCTGGCCACCAGCACGTCCCACATCCCAAAGGGCCCCGACACCGTGTGCCCGTGTCACAAAGGGCCACCCCCGGCAGCCCAACATCAGTGGAGCAGCCAGGAACTGGCTGGGAGCAGCCCCGCACTTGTGGCCTTGGGCCCCTGCTGTGCCCAGAGCCCTGAGAGGCTTTGGCCACGCTGCCACAGGACAGCCCCAGCCCCACAGTGCAGAGCCCTGGCTTTGCCGGCTGCGCTGCCCAGGGCACCAGGAATTGGCCGCACGGACGGGCCGGGCACTCGTGGGCAGCGGCTCCAGGAGCGGCGGGAGCCCGGGGAGCAGGGGTGTCCCTCAGGGCTCTGCCGGGCACTGGGGCTCGGCCCTGCCTTCAGCAGCCACAGCCGGGGGCACCGAGCGTGGCCTCGGCGCCTTTGCCGGGCACGGGAAGCCGAGCGGGGCAGGGGCAGCGCGCAAGGCCGGGGCCATGCACAGGCACCCGGCCGGGCTGGAGAAGCAGCACCACGAGAGCCTCCTGCGCTGCCACAAGGCCGGGCCCGGCTGCTACAGCTGCCTCGGGCCGGTGCCTGAGGCCCCGACTCCTGCAGCTCTGCCCTGGCCTCTGCGGCGCCACGGGCACAGAGGCCGGGCCGGGGCTCGCTCCCTGCTGCCCGCAGGCGCTGCCGAGGGCTCCCCGCCCGCCGGGGCCCGGGCCGGGCGCTGAGGGAGCGGCGCCGCCATTGCTGCCGCCCTCAGGGGCTCTGAGGGGAGCGCGGCTCCCGCCAGCCCCGCTCCGCCCGCACGGGCCACACAAACACGGAGCACAAAGACAGTCGCCGCTGAAATTGTGTCCGTGCCCTGCCAAATGCACCCGGACAGCGGCCCCAAGGGCCTGGGCTCGGCTGCGGCAGCATCGCCACACGGCTGCCCCCGGGCCAAATCCCCTGTGCTGATAGCGGCGCCAGGGGTGTGCAATGGGATAAAAAACACACTTATCTTTTTAAACTTAAATTTGCTTCCTGTGCTCTTCTTTATTTTGCAAACATTGAAGCATAATTGAGCAGCATCAAGGAAAAAGTCAACAGCTGATTACAAGGCTTCACAATCAAAGTGTAACAAGTGGAGGACTCACACTTCAGACATGTGTGCACACAGGCACAAAGCACCTCTCCTTTCTGGGGCTTCATTGCAGCACGCAAGGAGTAAAACCAGCCTTACTCCTGTTCTCACAGTAAAAACGCCTCACGTGCAGATTCTTGCTGCAAAGCAACTTAGTAACCATGAAACAATATTGGATTCCAGAAGCTGGGAGTTGGGGTACCCTTTCTTCTTGTCCATGTTTTCATCATACAGTCTTATTACTCTTCTTCTTCAATATATCGGTAGCTTTTGCCATCTTCTTACTCACTTCCTTTGTTGTCGTCTTCTTTTTCTTCATCTTTTTCCTGGTCTGTTTCACTCCTCGGGCCGTGGCCTGAGGCAGGGACAGCGGCACAGCCCCCGCAGCGCCCGCCTGAAGCGGGAGGGACGTTTCCTGGGGGCAGCCGGCTGCCCGCGGAGGGCCTGGGCTCCCAGCCGGGCAGGGCAGGGGCTGGGGGGGCTGTGCGGGGCAGGCGCCGGCCCTTGGCTGCACGGCTCCTGTGCCGGGCACTCGGCCCAGGCCTCCGGAGGGACAGGCACTGGGACTCCATCAGCTGCAGAAACTTTCTGGTTTTGGTGTTTGTCCTCTTTTGGGGGCAGCTCCAGGACACTCACCTTGTCCCACTCATCTTCCTCTGGGCGCAAGGGCTTGGGCTCAATGCTGTGCTCGATTTCATCTTCCCAGTTTTCCTGCACGAGCTCCTTGTTGCTGTCATCTTTCCAATTAGAGTATCCTGAGGGTTGGCAGCCATTCCCTCTGGACATGTCTTGGCTAATGCAGGATTCTTCCCACTCAGGGAGTTTTTCACAGCTGGTAGCTCCTTGGGGCAGTCCTTGCTCAATGTATTCTTCCCAGTCCGAGGGGTCTTGGGAGCTGTTGACTTCCCCCTGGGACAGGTCTTTCTCCAAGTATTCTTCCCAGCTGGAGAGTTGGGGGTAACTCGTGACTTCCTCACCTTCCCACTGGGAAAGCTCTGGCTTGACATCACCTTCCCTCTCATTGTCCTCTTCACTCTCCTGCCCTGCCTGCACTGATGCTGACACTGCCCTGTCCTGCTGCTGCTCCCTGGGGGCCTGAGCTCCCAGCTGGGCAGGAGAGGCACTGGTTGGGGCAGGCACTGCCTCTGCTGCCACCTCTGTGCCCACGGGGCTGCCACAGCTGGGCCCCACTGGGGGACAAGGCTCAGGCTCCTCGCTTGCTGGGGCCAAGGCTCTGTCCCAGATCTCAGAGCTGATGTCACAGCCCCACTGGGACAGCTCCTGCCTGCTCACACGTTCCTCCTGTTGGGACAGCTTTTGCTCACTCCCATCGTGCCAGCAGGGCAGCTCCTGGGCTGCAGCGTCTGCTCCTTGGGACAGCTCCTTGGCACTGCTGGCTCTCACCTGGGACAATTCCAGCTCTCTCCTGTCTTCCCACTGGGACATGTCACAGTGCACATCTTGTCCCCATTGGCAGCTCTCGCCTTCTGTCTGGGAAAGCTCTTGGGCATCATCCCACTGGGATTCCTCTGGGACACTCACATCTCTCTCCAAGGATAGCTCCTGGGATCTCTCATCTTCTCCCCATCCCAACTCCTGCTGCCCACTCACATCTACTTCCCATTCAGACACCACTTGGGTTGTCACACATTCTTCCCATTCCCAGACCTCTTGGTACATCTCACCGTCTGATGGAGGAGACACAACTAACACCAAGAATGGCTTCAGGCATCAGCACTTTATTATTCCCAGTACAACCTTTTATACCCTTTTGCCTTATGCATAACACCTGTGTGCCCTTTACCCTCTGAGCTGGGATGGTGATTGGTCAGTGCACTTCAGCATTCTGTGCTCCTTTTCCTTTCACGATGGTCACCTGTTTTACACAGCTGCACCCTATTAGGGATAAGGCTCTGCCAGCCAGCAGCCCCATTCCTAATTTCTCACAATCTATTCTCCCACAACTGTCCTCTTCCCCAGGCCTCTCCTCTAGGCTGGAGCCTGGTGGGACAGCTCCACCAAGAACAATTCCTTTTCCTATTGTAGGAGTCTCCTTTGGTGTGGAAAAGACAGAAAGAAAGGAGAATTCCTGCCTTCCCCTCTGTCAGGGCTGCAGAAGTCCTCAAACTTCCCTCCTGCTGCTCACACAGAGAGAACGCTGGCCTGGGGACTCTCTGCTGATG